GGGAGAGAGATTAGCAGAAAAGAAAAGGCATTAACTAGACCCTAGGAGAAGTTTAACAGTAGCAAAGGCTCATAGGAACACCCTTCAATTGACCTTTCTAGAACAACCCTGAATCAAGCCTATTACCCCTCCCCTCTGCCACTAACTACTGGAAAGGGAGGGGCTGTTACTAAGTTGCACTGTGTGGGCTCCTCTCAGCCTTCTGCCCAACAGTACACAATCTGGAGGTCATCAACTTAGAAACAAGTCGGCTCACAGTTTGAGGTGTTTTCCGCCCATGGTCAATTGTTTATGTGCTATGGTGATCAACATATTATGGTAGGTGGCATGCAGGAAGCAAAATGTCTTACCTCAGAGCCAAAAAAAAAAAGAATGGAGAAAGAGGAAGAGGCAGGGACCCACTACACACTTCAAGGGCATGCTTGTGACTCCGAAACACCCGTTTTAAAACAAAAGTTGCCAGGAAACATGACGTTAACTTAACTACCAAGTGACTTAAGTTGTTTTATGTAATAGGTGTTTACAGAAGTCATGAGATCTTCTGGTGGGAGATTTCAGTAGAAGCTCACTGAGCGTGCCTTCCCATGTCTATTTGCAGCTAGCTATCCATCAGATAATTCTGCAGTGCGTCATAGAAGTCTCGACTTCTGTAGCCATTACCGGTCAGGTCTACCAATGGTCCTAGGGGTTGAGAAGCTCTGAGATACTTTGGAAAAAGCAAAAAACAAAAATACAAATAAAACAAAACCAAAAAAAGCAGGCAACTCATGTCTCAAAGTGTTAGTTTGAATGTGTTAGCTGAAAGTGTTAGTTATATGATGAATGACTCCAGGTCAGTGATCTAGATTTTCTGAGTAGATCTGCCATTTACTTAAAAGTACTTCTGATCTGTGACTCCAAATGTGCTTTGATCAGCTCTCTGGAGGAGTGGACAAAGCTATAGGTTTCTATATTCCACTCTAGAACTGATAGGTCAAAGAACTATACCTGAGTCCGGGGCTGAAATTTAAATAAGAAGTGACTCTCACATGCCGTGAAGTCTCAGAACCAACAAAAGAGAATGGGCCTAAGATGGAACAGGACCCTGGGAGATGGCAATTGTCCTTCTGACGGAGAAAAAAAAGGAGTAAGAAGATATGTGAAAATGGGATTTTTAAAACTCATTTCACTATATATAACTCGTGATTACATCATTTAGTATACAATAAGAGGAGATTGTTGTATTGACGTCAACAATGCCAAAATAACAAAACCTTGAAATGAACTCAAAATAGCAGGGATCTGATTTAATCAATATCACATCCTAGAGCATATGCTTTTATTAAAAGATGTTTAAGGGACTAGAGAGAGTTCAGTTGGCGCTACCACACAACCTGATGTTGATCTACAGAATCCCCCTAAAAGCCAGGCATGGTGACACCGGCTTTAATCCTAATGACACAAATGGTTGCCTTCCAGCCTCTTCATGCCCATGTGCACATGTAGGTACCCCCAAAAATGAGTGTCTAAAAGACCCTAACTATGGAGGAAGAGCTTACCATAGCTAAGTAGAAAAATAACATAAAAGTGTATATACAATCCCAATTGTGCAATATATGTGTGTTCATGATAGCTACCTGTACAAGATAGTAGAAACAGTCACTAAAACAAATTTGAGAAAGCTGTATTTCTAATTCATGGTTGGTATGGCTCATTACCAGAAACAAAGCTGCTATAAGTAATAATAAAAGGTAAAAAAAAAAAATAAATAACCAGTTGTCCTTTAAAATATTCTAAAAATTTTAAATGACATTATTATAGATAGGGACAGTAACGTTTAGTCACATAAAGTCGATGGCAACTTGATCATGTAAATTTTAAGAGGATCCATTCCAAAAATGTCTTACAAACCCCTATCTACACACACACTCTTATCCTGTCAGTGTGTGTGTGTGTGTGTGTGTGTGTGTGTGTGTAGTGAACTTCAGCACTAGCCAAAGAACCATAACCCTGTGTGCTCTTCTTAAAATACCTATTCCTGGATCCACACCCAAAGGTTTTGTTTCAATGGTCTGGGGTGGAGCCAAGAAATTTTAAACAGGAACCTGGGTAATTCTGGCACATACCATTGTTCACTGATGATTTAAAAAAAAAAAAAAAAAAGGCTAGAATAGCCAGAAGTCAGTCACCAACAGTTCACGGTTATAATACCAGCACTAAGAAGACTGAAGCAGAAGGATTACCAAGTTCTAGGCCAGTCTAGACTGCATTCATGAGTTCTAGGCTGACTTGCTTTGGATGTTCCCAACATGGATAAAAGGTCTTCCAAGAGACATTTGGTTGGTTCCCAAGTCATACACTATTACCAGCTCAGCTTAGAGAAGGCACTAAATGCTTATATCAAGTGGCACATAGAATGTAGTAACAGAGTCGCTGTTACGGCCCCTCTTTACCTATTCTTCAGCAAACAGTTCAGCATGGTCAAGCAATTCACTTTGAGATACTTTTCCCCCATGCCCCATCAAAGCTGTGGACCTCTCTCAAAAGCGGTCTGGCACACAAAGGTTTGTGCTATTTCATGGAGTTTTCAGTGTCCACAAAGGTCAAAGCTGTTCTTAAAAAATTAACTTTAAGAACAGAAGAAAAGAAAACCAACCAAGCAAGCATTGTTTGTTACCTTCCCTGGAGACACATTCCAGCACTCTGGCAGGGTGCTGGAACAGCCTTCAACACTCTATCTTGAATTTCACTTTCTCAAGCTGAATCATATCAGACACTCCTTGAGTTTCTTACATCCTCCGAAGATTCATTACACACACACACACACACACACACACACACACACACACATACACACACACACCAGCTAATTATTTTTAAAATGAGACGGAGACGAAGATTCATTACACACACACACACACACACACACCAGTTAATTATTTTTAAAATGAGACGGAGAGGCCTTTTCTCAACTCTCAAATTACCACCTTCTGTCTGCTCTTTCTTTACCAAACCACTGGAGAGATCAGCCCGTTCCTGGGCCACCTCCACATCTTCATGCCTCCTGGCTCACCTCTGAACACTTTGCAACCCACAGGCACCAGACTTGGCTAATACGCTTCTAAAGTTACCTCCCTCCAAAAGGCCTTCTCTAGATACTTATCTCCCACACCCTTCAGCATTCGAACTCCAAACCAAGAGTTATCTTGCCCTTATCTAAGGAAAACCAGAACATCAAGTGATAGGGATCCACAGACCCTGGAGGGATCAGGCGCCCGACCTACATCCAGCAGGTGGGTCTCAGTCCTTCAAACCCCATGTGAGTGGCCGAAGGAGCTCAGGCCCTACAGATCAGCTGAGCTGTTTCCCTAGGTGAAACGCTGTCTGACCCGGAGCCAGAAGGGCCGGCCTTTTCCAGGTAGAGGCGCCGGGAGACGCCAGCACCAGGACGCGGGACGCGGCGGATGCACCCTGCATCTCCCCGCTGCGCATAACATCTTCCCCGCCCTGGGCTCTGGGGCGCCGGCACCGGAGCGGGAGCCTGAGCGGGAGCCGGAGCTCGGCCGAGGTGGGCCTCTGCAGGCCCCCAGCTCGCCCGCCGCTCGCCCGGCAGGACAGCCGCACGGAGGCCTGAGCGCGCAGGCTCCGCGCCCGTCCGGCCCCATCCCATGGACACTCCCGGCTCACAGCCCGGCGATGGCCGCTCGGAGCGCACCGTAGCGGAGCTCTGGCCCGGCGTACTCACCCCGGACGCGGCCACCGTGAGGCCACCCGGGGAAGGGGAGGTGGTGAGGAGCAGCTCCGGGGATCTCCCTCGTGGACCGCCTGCGCCGCCCGGAGGCGGCTCTGCAGCCCCGGCTCCGCCTTGCGCGCAGCGCCACCGAGGGGGCGGGTCTGCCGGGGTTCTCCCAGGACCTGGCGCCCGCCGGCCAATCCTACCAAGCGCTGCAGGAGCTTGAGAAAAGAAAGGGTCACAACTTAGCCTTTAGGAGATCACAAACCATTCTGTAGATGACAAGTCAGGCTCTGGGTGCTTCTCAGATTCCATCCCCGGGGACGTCACCCGGAACCTGGAAAAGAGATCGTATCCCCGTGCTTTACAGAGCAGAAAATGACGCTATGGACTCACAGGAATGTGCAACCTTTTGGCTTCTTCATTTTGCCAACACTAAATGAAGGGTGGTCTCAGACCACATCATAGAATCCAGAGGTCCACAGTTTCATGTTTATTTTGCGTGACATTATCAGGCGACATTGTCATTTATAAAGTTTATGCTTGAGACCCCTGAAATCGAGTATCGAAAAAAGAAAAATAAAACTGAAAAAAAAAACTTCATCCTTCATAATAGTTTAAGTAAGTTGACAATTTTGTGTTAGGTTGATTTCATAGACATCTTGGGGCAAGGGTTAGACACACCCTCAAGAAACTCTAAAGTCCTGACAGACAGGTTATAGCCTGCTCAACCATGCATTGTAACAAATTTAAGACTAAATGGCATTGTGCTAATCAAATATTTCAAATATAATCATAATAATCAAATGATGCTAAAATTGATTGTAAAATAATGGTGGGTTCTGCGTAGGCACGCAGGACAGCAGCCTACATGTTACCAGCTCTCTCAGAGAAGTTACATGAAAATCACCCCATCCATCAGAATGTGAAGCAGTGGTTCTCGGCCTGTGGGTCGCGACCCCCACATGGAGTTGCATGTTTCATATTTACAATTCGTAACAGTAGCATAATTACAGCTATGAAGCAGCAAGGAAATAACTTTATGGTTGGGGGACCCACGATGTGAGGAATTGTGTTAAAGGGTGGCAACCTTAGGAAGGTTGAGGACCACTGCTCTAAAAGGAGCAAACTGAACCAGCCCTTAGGCACAGGACTTTAAACAGGTCTAGGACCATATTGATGCCATGTGGCTGTGTCACCACTGTGACATGGTAATGGAATTTGGAGCCTGTCCTCTGAGCCTCCCGCATCAGGCTCAGGCCCCTGAAGAGCACTGGTAAGAGGTCTTGAGACTACTATGCCCTAGCAGAAGAAACACTGAAACCTCTTGGTAGAAGACTGGTCTCCATTCAGTCCCATGGAGTTCAAACAGATACAAGTAAGCAATTTTACATTTTTTCATGTATTTACGTATTTAGTTACTGTATAGTGCTAAGTACAGGAATCAGGGCCTATCGTACCTGGGACAAAGGACCGCTAGACTAACCGTGGTTATCAGCACTCCCAGCCCTTCCACACAGGCACACCTTGAGTTCACGGTCTTTTTAAAATCATTATATGGGTTAGTTTTTGTCAACCTGACATAGACTAGAGTCATCTGGAAAGAGGGAACTTCAACTGAGGCATCATCTCCATCAGACCAGCCTGTGGGTATGTCTGTGGACTGATTTTCCTGATTAATAATTGATATGGGAGAGCTACCACACATTAGATAGCGAGACTCCCAGAGCAGGTGGCCCTGGGTTATATAAGAAACTAAAGTGAGCAGGACACCAAACAGTGTTCTTTCATCGTCTCTGCTTGAGTTCCTGCCTTGGCTTTCCTCAATGATGAACCAAAACATGGAAGATTAAATACAATCTCTCCTCACCTGATAGCTTTTGGTCGTGAGGATGATCACAACAGAGAACAGACTAGAGCAATCACCAAGCACAGGAAGCTTCTCACAAAAGAAGGCAGAGGTAATACCCCACAGAATTAGCCCCCCAAAGAGATGTTTTTTAAAAGTAGAATGTAACATACACCTGGAGACCTGTGAAGCAGGCTTTCATTGCACTAAAAGAATATAGTGTTCTCGTTAGTTTGTTGCTAACTTGACAAAAGCTAGTGTCATCCAAGAAGAGGGAACCTCAACTGAGACAGCGCTCCTATCAGATTGTCATGGAGGGTATTTTCTTTATGAATAATTTATACAGGAGGATCTCACTGAAGGTGGTGCCAGCCGAAGGCAGGTGGTCCTGTTTTGTATCAGAAAGCAGGCTGAGCAAGCTATTAAGAGCACTCCCTGTGCTTCAGTTCCTGTTGTCGGTGTCTGCCTTGACTTCCTTTATGATGGGCTACAACTGTAAGCTTAAATAACCCTTTCCCTCCACAAGTGATTTTATCTCAGCAATGAGGAAGATGGGGCAGGCCAAGACAGAGAGTGGTACCCAGAGCGGGGTTTTACTGGGACAGACCTAATCATGATGTTTTCAGGAGGAGCAGTAAAGATGGGAGGGGAAAATGAAAAAAACAAAACAAAACAAAAACAAAAAACAAGACACTCTAAGGATTAGAGAAACAATTCTGGTCCTTTGCACTGGGCTGGAAATAATGCTGGTTTCCATTACTAAGATAGAAAAACTTATACAGGACATTGGACAGAATACCTAGGGAAATACCTTATAGAAAATTAGCCTACCCTGAGCATTGCTCCAGACCTGCCTGGCAAGACCCAAAAGGAATAAATTGTAACCAATGAATCAAGAATCAATTTTATAAAATGTAAAATTACTCATCCAAGAGGATAAAATTCATAATGTATGACATCCAGAATGGTCAGGTATGCAAAGAGGCAGGAAAGCAAACACCAATAAGAACAATCAACTCAAGGTTGATCTAGAATGGAAATTGATACTAGAATTAGCAGTGGTGAGTGCTGAGACAGCTATACAGATATTCTATGCATTTAACAAGTTAAGATGGTTGTAGGGGCTCTTATCTGTAGTCTCAACACTGGGAGCAGCAAGACTGATGTGAATTTGAAGTATCTTTGGCTTCATAGACTGTGTCTAGGGAAACAATAAGCTATGTATGGTGTCATATGCCTGTAACATCAGAACTTGGGAGTCAAAGACAGGAGGATCTGGAGTTCAAGATAATACAAAACTGCATAGGGAATTCAAAGTAATTCTGGCAGTATAAGGAAAGAGGGGGGAGAAGGAGGAGGAGAACGAGGAAGAGGAAGAAGAAGAAAGGAGAGGAGAGGAGAGGAGAGGAGAGGAGAGGAGAGGAGAGGAGAGGAGAAGAGGATTTGTTTTAAGACTCTAACTGGACCTGAAGAAATGAAAGACAGGCTGTATGACAATAACAGGTCAGAGGAGAGAAATGCAAATATATTCTTATAAGGTTCTTTTAAAATTGTATTTCATGTGTATGTATGTTTTGCCTGCATGTATGTAGGTACACACATGAATCCCTGGTGCCCGAAGAGATCAGGAGAGGGCATCTGATCTGGAAATGGAATTACAGGTGGTTGTGAGCTGTGGCTTGTGAGTGCAGGAAACCAAAGCTGAGTCTTCTGGAAAAGCCTTAAATGCTCTTATCAGCTGAACCATCTTTTTCAATCCCTATTGTAAGACTCTCATGCTGTATAGTACATAACAAAATTCCTACACTATACATATGCAATACTTTAATATATGGTATATAATAATATAAGCTTTCGAACTGCCACTAAAGTGACAAAATTGCTACCAGTAGTTGAGTCAGGACCCTGGGCTTGCCAAGTTCTTGGCCTTTTATTTCAAAGAATTGAAATCAAAGCCCACACAGGTTTGCAAAAGTAACAAGGAAGCTATATTTAACATGAAGTGATAGAAAAGGTCAGAAGACAGGGCAAGAGACCCGTAGCCACATGAACCCAGGGACTGAAGAGCTCCTATTACTGTTAGGGGCTTCCTTTTATGGAATTCAGTAAATCTTTAGTTATTAAGGGGAATAGTAAGAGTGATTCCTCTAACTAATAGATTAAGTCATGTGATGAATTTTCTGTGGTATGTCTCCCTTCCCATAATGCATCTGATTTTAATCATATGCATGCTTAAGTATGCATAGGTATAAGCATAGGTATAAGATGGTAGTTAGGGGATTCTCCCTAAAAGTTCACTTGAGGACACAATTTTATTTAATGCAAATGAACCCAAAACCAGCTCAGACCAGATCTGTATTTCCATTCTTTGTACCCAGATACATTAGAAGTGTATTTAAATAAAAGCTATCTTTCATGATCAAGTTGCAGAGAATAATAAGATCCTATATCATGAATCTACTCCCAAGGCTCAGTGACCATCAGTGAAGATGGAGAGGGAAGATCGTAAGAGTCAGAAGTCCACTATCTTCTGGACATGACAGGACTTCTGCGCTCATGAACTTACAGCAACTGTGGTTATCCACCCAAAGCCCACACAAGATCAAGCCGTCAACATAGCAAGGAAGCAGAAGGGCTCCTGCACTCCCACCACTCACCAAGAAACTATTAACACCTAGTAGCATCTAGGGGAAGAAAGACAGTTTTACTTAAGAGTCTAGAGCCAAACACAGTTGACCATGTGCCAGTGGACAGCCCCTAGAGCAGAGGTTCTCAACCTTCCTAATGCTGTGACCCTTTACTATAGTTCCTCATGTGTGCAGACACCCAACCATAAAATTATTTCATTAATAAAAAAAAGGGGGATCAAGACCCATAGGTTGAGAACCATTGATCTAGAGACCCACATAGGGGATGAATAGTATCAAAATACGTTGTGTGGAATTATGAAAGAACTGAATTAAAAAAAAATGTTGCTGGCAAAAGAGAAATTTACCCCACAGTTCAGAGAGGGAATGTATGTGCAGCCCCGTGTGGATGGGAATCCAGGGTTGTTGGGTGTGTTGTTCAGAGAGGTACATAGTACTGGTCCATAAAGGAGCCGGGCTATCGATTACATTAGAAGCAGGATGCAGGAAGTGCTTAACCCAACCCAGAGAGAGTCCCAGGTTACTGAGCTATTTTTGTGTTTGCCAGCCTCAGAAATAAGTGATTGGAGCTAATATGGCAGTAGAGGAGATAAAGCAAAACCATGAAGTTTTCCATGGGGCTGGA